AATATTAAAATATTCATTGGTGTCTTAATTATTCAATATCCCTTTTAAATCACTTTTCCTCAAAAAAATATAATAATTACCATCTCTCCCTCTTACGACGTCACGATCACATGGTACGAGTATAGAAATCATCATATTTATATTTATTACCATTGTAGCCTTGTTATGTCATAGCCTTTTTATCATTATATCATCAACTTCAGCTCTATCATCTTATTTTATTCTATTTAAACCACCCTGGTTTGATCACCATTCCGGTTTTTTATCATAAAACTCTTCCTCTAAATCACAATCACATTCTCCATAATCATCATTCCATCTCTTATGATCGTCTACAACATGAACTGAACATCATCAACAACATCATCGTCGCTATGATCATTAATTGCATCGTTATCATAATCGTCGTCGTCATCGTCATCATCATCAACAACAATAACAACATTGTCAACTATATAATTATCATCATCCTCAACAACATTCTTATCATCGTCATCAACAGCAACATTTTTTTCATCATCATCAACAACATTCTTATCATCATCCTCAACAACATTCTTATCATCGTCATCAACAGCAACATTTTTTTCATCATCATCAACAACATTTTTATCATCATCATCATCCTCATCATCGTCGTTGTCATCATCATTATCATCGTCGTCGTCATCATCATCATCATCATGACGTTAATCAAATCAAGAGCATGTCGTTGTCATTGGCTTCATTTTTTCACCTTTGATTTTTATCTGGTCTGAATATTGTTCCAGCGAGGCCGATCGATAGCGCGTTCACTGGAGTTACATCTACGACATCATCGGCATCATCATCATTACTGTCATAATAATAATAAGAAGAATAATAATAATTATAATAATAATAGTAATAATTATAATAATAATAATGATGATCGTCATCAGCATCATTATCACCATTGTCAAAATGATAAACAAATCAATTTTTAAAACAATATCTTTTCAAACCTCACCAAATCAACATCTTTTCAACCGTAATCATCATCATCATCATCATCCCCCTCATCATCATCACTATCACCATTGTCGGCATCATCACCATCATCTCCATCGTCATTGTCTTCTTTCCCAGAAATCTCCACCACCACCATCGCCACCATCATGCCTCCCCATTTGCACGTAAGCAGCTAATTGCGATTTGTAGAACTGGATTAAGTCGATAAACCGGACGATAACCAACCTCAAAACACGCGCTTGTGTGTGCGTGTGTGTGTATCTATGTTTGTTTGTTTGTGTGTGCATGTATGAGTGTGTGTATTTGTGCGTGTATGTGCAGTACACAAAATATAGAGAGTATATTGATAGGTATTGTGTATTTTTGTTGTATATTTTTGCAAAAAAAAGCAAGCGTTTAGTACATGCAGTAGGTAAAATAGTGCGTATGTGTGCCAGTGTGTGTGTGTGCATGTAAATTTGTTGTGTGTGTGTGTGTTGTGTGTGTGTGTGCGTATGGTGAACGTGAATGGTCAATGCATTGTGGGTGTGTGTTTGTGTGTGTGTGTTTGTGTGCGCGCCTAAACATAAAATTGATCACGTATTGGTGGATTTGAAATTTGCACTGATCAAACAACTGCGAACATGTGCGTTCTTCAGCATGGCAAACAACAAACATACCTGAACGTCGCAAAACAAAAACCTCGCTTGTCCAACTTCACAAATATTTCCAAAGCAAATACCCACCCATAACCATTGTCACCAGGTGCTATTGTGTGGTGTGTGTGTGGTATGTGTGTGGTGTGTGTGTGGTGTGTGCGTGTGTAGTGTGTGTGTGTGTCGGAGTGCATATATAAGTCTGCCTCTGCTCTCAATTAGATGTGTTTGTTTGAAATGGAGTTCATTTAAAACACAAACTGTCCCGAAGGGCAAATTGATTTGCATTGAACTATTGGAAATCGTTGCCAGCAAATCTGAGAGCACAGTTCGTGCAAACAAAACAACTTTTATATTCAGACATATTTCATTCATGCACTAATACATTGATAGGTTGTTTTTTCATTCTTTTACTTTGGCGCACCTACATTCACTCATTCCTCCAATCATGACTCTTGCACTCAGATAACCAATCACGTATAAGCACGTTTCCGTATGAGCATTGTTCACGAAAGTTCGAAGGGACTGCTTCAACATAAAAATATTTTTTGATTCATGTTTCGTGATTCGGCGGACGTATTTGCAAGGGCATATTTTTCAGTTTTATTTAAATTTGCAATGCTGAATCGCCCAAATCCCATTTATGTGCTTCTCAAGTTGATTCAATAATTGAGTGACGTTCCGATCGAAAGCATTGGCAGCTATCCACTAGACAGCATGATATATCAGAGGAAATGAACAATCATACAATATATTTTATTTGCTTCAAAAATAAAAAAAGAAGACAGGATGATCATTATCAAGTTATAAGGTAACTTATCTAGCATGGCCACCTTACAAATAATTTTAGACAAAATGAAATTTGAACACAAAATTTCACGAGTAATCCACCATAGACATGTTAGTTGTTAGCATCAAACAAACTTAACTATGTTAGTAAAACATGTTAGTTGTTAGTAAAATTTTTGTCAATTTCATTAATTATTCGCTTAGAGTCAGACATTAAATTAAAATATACAGATCATCATAACAGTATGATCATAACAATAGCAACGTTTGTTTCAATCATCTGTATCATCCTATCATCTGTATCATCCAATCACCTGTATCATACCGCTAGTTTGGTTGCCAATAAATATTACATAATAATAAAATAAATAGATTTTAAATCAAAGTTTCAAAAATTAACAACTGAACAAATTACGTATGGAATTTAAAGAAATCTTGGATAATTTTTAAAAAATGGAAAAATTGTTACAACTCTTGTTTATTACAAATCTAATAACGTATAGAGCAGATGGTTTCTGGAAACTATTTATACGAACTCGTGTTTATAAAGTAAAAATTTTATGTACATCGGGCAGGCAGAGACCATCCATACATCTTGAAAAATGAAACTCCATAAACATGTAGGAGCCGAATCTGCTGAACCAACCAGCTGCAAATGTTTCTATGCTACAATTTGAAATCTCGGGATTATGACAACAACAAATACTGTCAACAAGTATGAATTGATATGTAACCGAGTGAGTACAGCTCAATGTTTCACAATTGTGTTGTTTTTAACTTATATGCTCTCTATGATGAAGCTTCAACAACATTTTGGAGAGGCAGGAATTACAAACAACTGGAAAAACTCATCAAAATTCAAAACGTGTATCAAAATTATTTCACTGTTAACAAACATTTTTGTTTCCAAAATTTGGCAAACAGTTAAGCCAGCATGTTCTTACGACGTCAACTATCCAAGAGGCACAGATTGCATTCAAAATATTGGGGCGAGAGTTGAAATACGCTCTTCATGATATTCATTTAAATATTTAGCTACGTGTCACAAACACAAATGATACGTGAAGGAATTAATGAAAATAAACATTTAAACTATTATATATATATACATAAAAATATGTTTATATATATATATACATATACACATAAACATACATTTACATATGCATACATATATACATGTATGTATTTACATAAAAAAAACCACCGCAATTCAAATACGTATGTACATAAAAGTAAAAAAAACGTGAAAATCTTTAATGTTGCAGGCCCGTCAGAACAAACACGTCTCAGATTACAAACTTCACAAGTACCCGGACCAGGATTAATGTAAGTACCAATACAAATAGCAACGCAGTATCGTACATGTGCAGAAGTACCAGTACAAATAGCATACAAACCTCCGTGTGAACCTGTACCTACGCATTCATTAAAAAAATGTTAGCTTGTACATGTTCTCAAATATGCATCCATATCTTAACAAGATAAACACACACTTGTTTAAACATATTATACATGTTTTTGTATATATATACAAAAATATGCACAATTAAAATTCTAGGAATGCATATGCCTAGCAATCAACGGTGGGCTATCAACCGTGGGCTACTTAAGTACTCGTGTTTTTAACATCATAGGTGAACCCATGACATGGTTTTTTTTAAATATTAAACAAAATTAAACGCAAATGTAATTATCAGATCAAATACAAATATGTAACAGTTTCATTCTTCATTGTCTAAATCATGACAACATCATTTGGGGAGATGGTTCGGATTTTTCAATAAACAATATACTGTGATGTCAGAGACGATTATCACGAATATTAAACTAATACACTTACCAACTGACTAAAAAATATTATCTATCCAACAATTAAATTTTTGCTCAATCATTATTTGTATTATAAAAATTTAAATGGTATTCAGTCTGTTATTTTTTTAAATTTTTAATTCTAATTTTTTCATGTCATTAAAACAGTAAATACGCAACAAAATTCATCCAGCAAGATTAAATATATATCGAACAAAATATCCAACTTCACAAGCTGCCGCATTTTAAAGGACCCAACTATCCTTTCTGCAATCAAAAACAACCATTATATCACGCTATTTAATAAGAAACTTAAAAATTTAGCTGCTAATTATAGATCACCAGAAAACAGGATGGCTGGATTTCATTTTGAACGTAAGTTGTGTTAGGCTGGAGGGGATGGATTCTGTTTTGCTTGTCTGCGATGTTTGGTTGGTGTTACTCTAACTGGGTTCGCTTGTTTGTTTGTTTTGTTTGCTTATATTGACTTAGCGTTGCAGGTGTGCTGATTCTTATTTTGCATTCATTGTCTATTTTAGTTATGTTAGAAATATACATTTGTATAGATTTTGTTTATTTAATTTGACTATCTTAGTTTACGTTGGCTTATTTTCAAAATAAGCCAACGTAAACTAAGATAGTCAAAAAAAAAAATAAAAAAAAATTTTCGATGTATATTAACAGTTAAGACCTTTTCCAAACACATCAAAATCACAAATCTGCAAAAAAAAAAAAATTCACTCTGGAAAAGAAATGTTTTCAGACTTTTGCGAAATGTCGACACAGGGACGCGAAGCAGATGTAGTTGAAGACTCTTCCACACCACACAGAGAGACCTTAATGGCAAACTCTCTTTTACTTATAACTAACTTGGAAATTGGAATATTTAGTAAGTCAGGGTTGATCGAACGGAGACAAGGAAAGGACAGAATTCTAGGCGAACATATTTCTCTAAGGTAATTCGGAGTTGTATTGTTTAAGCACTTGTAAACTTGTGTGGCAATGCTACAAAGAATGGAAGCCAATAGATCAATAGTAAACCAATGCAATTCACGAAGTGTTGGAATCACATGGTCGAATCTTGACAATTTTAGCTGCCTGATTCTAAATCGACTGCAGTCTTTCGATATATATATATATATATATATATATATATATATATATATATATAGTTTGTGTGTGTGCATATGTGCGTGTATGTGTGTAGTTGTGCATCATAGCATTTAGCAAATGTATGGGTTGGAAACTGATTTGTATGAGCTAATTATAAGGAGGATTATCAGAAGAGACATCACACGACACAATAAAGTCGCATGCAACTTGCGACACATTTCACATACAACTATCAATAAAGACAACATCGACAACATAATAATCAAACAACACTATGCTGATAACAAGAGCAACAACTTACATGACGGGCAGAAAACATCAACAATTATTATTATTATTGTATAGAGGTAAAGCGCATTTTACTAATTTCAAATGCCCATACATGTGCTTTAAAATAACAACTTAAAAACACACACACAAGTACAACGAAATTAACTGCAAAATACAACAGCAACAACCATAACAAGATGCCAGCAAGCTTCATCCAATCAACGACATCAGAAATATCAGGCCAGCACAGGTTGTAGAGAATGGATGTTATAAAAGCACACCACAATGAAGAAGTTGATGAGATTTCAAACTACTTTGTTGGTCTGTTGTGGTTTGTGGTTGTGTTTTTGCTGGTTGTAGTGTGTTGTGGTTGGCTGTGGTTGATTTTGGTTTGTTGCGGTTTGTTGGGGGGTGGTTATGGCTGGTGGTGGTTTCTTGTTGTTTTGTATAAATCTGATGTGCAAAATGATTTTGTAAAATTTCAAACTCTTATTTTAGATTTAACTTTTATAAAAGCGCAATAAAGTCGAAAGAAGATGGATATATATGAAAAATATAAATATGATGTCATCATCTGAAGCCAACATCGTATGCAAACATTTAGAAGTATGTAGAACAAAACGAAACACCAGTGAAGTCGGTGGAAGCTTTTGGAATAAAAAATGGAAATCAAATGATAATGATATAAAATAAATTCTTGGTTGGTCGGCACGACTAAGTCGCAGGATACAAAATATTAATCATATAATTGTTTTTATAAATGCTTGATTGATGATGTTAAATTTTAATATAAATATATATATATATATATATATATATGTGTGTGTGTGTGTGTATGTATGTGGGTGTGTGTGTGTAACATTGCGGCTTAACAATGCGGAAAATGCGGTGATATTTCATAATAACTGTATATACGACAGTTTGTACCCAAATTATATATATATATATATATATATATATATATATATAAGCTTAGATAAAAACCAAAAAGTTTATAAATAATAAATGAAATTTTTAAAACGTCTTCGGTTGTAACGTGAAATGGTGAGAAGTTCTAAAGGGTGGCACAGTTGTAGAGTTAAAAAAATTTTAAATTCGTAAAAGTTCAAACAAAAATAAAGTTCAATGAAGTTTGAAATGCGACCGACTACTTTAACTTCAATGCTAGTCAACGTTGTAGACATCTACCTACATACAGTTATTAATGTGAGTCAGTAAACCGGAACTCTATTCAATTCAATTACTCAGAGCTGGGCTAGGGATGAGCGTCGAATGTTGTAACTGACCGTCAAGTGTGCTACTGCTGACTGCTGAAACTTTTTTAGTTTGAACTCATAAGCAATCTTGCTTGCATTTTTGCAGTGATCATTTAAACATGAACTTTATGAACTGTAAGAACTCAAGAATGAAAATCAAAAAGTTCGAACTTCTCAACTATGGTCTCTTGTAACATTGCAGCTAACATTTGGCTTATCAATCAGTGCAATCAGTAATACCTATAGATCAATCATAACCAAAAGTTACAAAAATTAATTTTATTCAACTATAAATCAATCTGTGACCAAGAAATTAATCACCATTTTAAACTTTATTTTCAAAGTCTTGATTCGCACGTATTCACTAGCCTAGCACAAAGTATTTGTTATTGGCAACTCTGAAATACTGAAAAAGAATTGTACCAAAAAATTAACAACAACAAAATTAACAATCTATCCAATATAACAACAATTTAAGAATCATCCAATCAACCAACAACTTTATAAAAGAACCAACCCAAACACCAACACAAAAACAGCATAACAGAAAAACTTGTAAGTAAATTAAGGATTGTAAATCGTGCAACATAACTGCATGACATTAGACATTCACATCGTTGTAATCGTGCTGATAAACACCAACAGTGTAGTATATGGTATGAAAGCACGCCCGTAGATAAGCATGCCTACCTGCTTATATATAGAGACATATACAGAGACATATACACATAGACATATACATAGACATGTACATACAAACATACATATATATATATACGTACTTGCATACATACATTCATACATATATATATATATATATATATATATATACAAACATACATATACATATATACATACATATACATATATATATACAAACATACATATACATTTTAAAATTTTAAATATAAACAACATCCTTGTATACTTTGTCTCAATTTTCATGCTTAAATAGCTACATGAATAACTTTCGCTTTCTTATAAAGATTTTTTTTTACTCTAATAAATACTATTCACAGTAAGCCTTTAAGAGACAATCCTACTTTTTATTCAAATCCAGCCCGAATAAAATCAATAAATATAAGATGAAACTAAAAGGACCGAAGGTCTGGGAAACGGTGATTTCACTTGAGATTGAAGCTCTCAGTCACTTGCATTTGTTTAAATCTAAAATTAAACGCTACCTGATTCAAAAAAATACTATTTTCTAGAATTATGAAGTGTTTGTTATTATCGACTATATAAAACTATGTTGTTGAACTACTTAAATCTTTGATTTAAGTTGATCAATGTTGATTTTATTTAGATAGGGTGACTTTCCTATGAGCATTTAGTTTAGTTTACGCCTCTTTTTCAAAAAATGAAATATTCAAATATTCATAAAACGGGTTCATACATACATAAATACATACATTCATACATACAAAAAAACATCCATCCATACATACATACATCCATCCATCCATCCATCCATAAATACATACATACATACATACATACATACATACATACATACATACATACATACATACATTACATACATACATACATACATACATACATACATACATACATACATACATACATACATACATACATACATACATACATACATACATACATACATACATACATACATACATACATACATACATACATACATACATTACATACATACATACATACATACATACATACATACATACATACATACATACATACATACATACATACATACATACATTGTATGTTGGGCTCCGCCTGGTTGAGAGCGCTACCCAACACCTCCTGCAGCACTAGACTGGATGACTCCTGTGTTCGCGTGAGCCTTGGTTTGAGACTCGGAGCCCAGATCGTGACAGAATACGATGAACTTGGATACCATAGCCTTTTTTGTCGTCTAGGTCCTGGAAGACAAGCCAGACATACGGCTGTCAACGAATACCTGGTACGATGTTTTCAAAAGGCTGGTATCCTGGTTATAAAAGAACCCATGGGTTTGATAGAGGAAGGAGCCTTTAGGCCTGATGGTTACACTATCACCCCATGGGCTCAGGGACGGTCCCTGGCTTGGGACGTTACCTTACCCCACACTATGGCTGACCGATATATCGGCTACACTTCAGTGGAGGCGGGCACTGCTGCCCTTAAAGCGTCCGATTTCAAAAATGAAAAATACGTTTCATTAAACATTTTAAGCAAAATATTTCAACCCATTTGCATTGAAACGTTCGGACCAACAGATAAGCACACATCATTATTTATTAACGAATTAACAAGAAAAATAGTTAATATAACGGGTGATCCTAACGAAGGCAATTATTTAAAACAAACTCTTTCACTGTTATTACAAAAATTTAATTCCTTTTGCATTCTGGATGGAGCTGCTAGATACCTGACTGTGCGAGACCAGGGACATAGATAAAAGTTGAACTCGGAAACGATTGCATGCCTAACCATGGCTTGTTCATCAAAACGGGTTCATACATACATACATACATACATACATACATGCATACATACATACGTACATACATGCATACATACAAAATTGTATGTATGCTAAATAAAAATTATTTACATTTGTATATTGAATGTATCTTATTATAAAACTTTATAACGAACAGTTTATTGTCATTAATGTTATATATATAATATACATATATATAGTATATATATATACATATATATATATATATATATAAATGTGTATACATATGTTTGTATAAATATATATATGGAGGTAATTATATATATATATATATATATATATATATATATATATACTAGTATATATGTTAGAGTTGTATGTTTAACATCATATATGTATAGTTGTGCGTGTCCATAAATAAATAATTAGCTTGGAGAAGAATAAAAGAGGATGATGAGGACAGATGAAGGAGTGATGGAAGATTGACGGAAGGATGAATGATGAAAAGACCTGCACGCTTCACTACAATTTTTTCCAGACTAACTCACTCAAAAGACATTTATTAGCAGTCGTGATTTTTAGGAAATCAGTTTTTATCAATCAAATTTGACTTCTTCGAATTCTAAAAATTATTTTACTTTTGTCTAAAATGTCAAAATTTAATTTAGGATATATATTTTTAATTTGGATGTGCATATATATGAATGTATGTATATAATTGTTTAATTGAAAAAAATGTCGACTGAGCATTTGTAACATTTCATTTACAAATCGATAAAAAGTCGGATACCCAGACGAATATTGATGTCGGTTAACCGGTCGATAATTCTTTAGAAATTTCTTGCATCGGAGCTTGAGCAGGTATGACGTCACGTTGGCTTTTTGATTTGAAGTAACGAAATATTTTCGGTTGTAACATTTACTGCTCTTACCGTTTAAAAATAATATTTTTTTTGGTGCGATTTTTATAAAGACTTCTGTGATTAAGATGACAGGAGTTAGTTCATGAATTAGTAACTGTTATATAAACAAAAAGTAATTTGTTTATAAGTAAAACTGTTAATTTAAGAAAAGGTAAATTATTAAAATATAATGAAAAACATAAAAAAATCATAAATATATATAAATAAATAAATGCACATAAATATATATAAATAAATATATATTATTATATTAAAAAGGTTTCTATTCAGTCATTATTGATGTATAAATAATAAACTTTAATAAATATTAACAATTATTATCCATTAATTAATTAACCAATCAATTAGTTAATTAATCAAGTATATAATTAAACGCTAATTTAATTATAAATGTTGACCAAGTTAGTTGGATATTCTTTTGTGTGTGTGTGTGTGTATGTATGTATGTGCGTGTGTCTGCGTGTGTCTGTGTGTGTATTATTTTTTCTGTGTCAGTCAGTATTGGTGGACGTTTTAATAATTGCAATAATAATAATAATAATAATAATAATAATAATAGCAATAATAATTTAGTAGTAGTAGTGGAGGTGGTAGTAGTAGTGGTGTTTGTAATTGTAGCGGTGTTAGTAGTAATAGAGGTACTTTTATGCTGGATTTTTACAACGCTTCTATTGAGTTGATTTAAGAAGCAATTATTATTATTATTATTATTATTATTATTATTATAATTTCACTTTTTATTCATTTTATATTTAGTCATTATTATTTTCTTCATTTCAACTTTTTTTAACCATCAACATCATCAAACAACCATTAAACTGATATATAAAACTTCTCTCCAATATCATCATCATCATCATCATCATCATCATCATCATCATCATCATCATCATCATCATCATCATCATCATCATCATCATCATCATCATCATCATTATTGTTATTATCATTATGACTATCTCTTGTAAATTTTATTTGGACTGAACAATCATGTTACGATTTAATTAATTCAGTAATATCATCATCATACGCCATCTATTGCGACAGACATTCAAATGTATAATAACTATATTAAGACTGATCATATTTCTCGTTGTACGCATTTTATATCTATAATGGCGAGCAGCGTAGACTACTTTCTCATTTTAATTCATTTTATTTTATTTTATTTCATTGAATATTTATTTCGCCCCTTTTTTGGAAAAAATAAAAGAGTTCCCATTATTATTATTATTGTTATTATTATCAATTATTATTGCAATTTTTATTGAGTCTGTAAAATTTCTATAATTTTTTTGTTAATTTTATAAGAGATAGTATCATACTTGTTGATACGCTGCAAACCCTACGTGCTGAAGTTAAATGATTGAAAGAACATATATAAACAAACTATTATCAATATATATTATTGATTTAAATATGTATGTGAATGCGTTAATTAATGATTACAGTTATTCAAATTATGTTAATTATTTAAAAAAAATGAAAAAATTGCAAACATCTCGCCTAAAAAAATCAGCTAATTAATTAATTAATTAATTAACGAAGGAATGAATAATAATTAACGAGGGATTGAATGAATGAATGAACAAATAAATGAATAAATACAATATATATGTATATGTTTGTGTGTGTGTGTGTGTGTGTGTGTGTGTGTAGTGTACTATGATTTCACACACACACGCACACACAAACACATACACACACACGCATTGAAATAACATTTAATATCCTGGCACAAAATGTTGAAGCATGCATAAAAAAAACTTCCCGCCTCTCTCAGATCTGTTTGATGAGAGGGAGTTTGCAATGATATTATCATCCCATTAATAATTAAGCGACTTCGTAATCTAACAATTATTACGAGAAGAAGTAAGAATAATAATAATTAATAATAATAATAATAAAAAAAATAATAATAAAAAAAAAAAGTAGAGACCATTTGTCCAGATTAAATGCAGAGGCCAATTTTTTTTCTTTGATGAATTATTTGAAGATTAAGAAATGTCCACCGATTGGTAAATTCGGGCTAATCTTCTCTTGAAGTATGAAGCCCCTCGGTTTTTTTAGAACAACGGAGTAATTCATTTCAACAGCCATCTCAGGAAACAATAGCATTATCGGAAATAAAATTTACAACAACAACAACAACAACAAACAAATCAAACAACAACAAGCTAACAACAACAACATTAACAGAGGCTGCAACAACAAACAACAACAACAGCAGCAGCAAATAAAACAAACAACAATAACAAAATATTCACTCCGTCATAATTTTTTTTTATGATGAAAAACTCCATTTCCATCCACCAATCCATCATTCCAGCACACATTCCCACAACAACAGAACACGGCAAAGAGGATGAAAGCAGCTCCAACTTAACGTAAACAATAATAAATTAATAGTTAAGAAAATACTCTGGCCTGCCCGCCCGCGAAAACCATATCATATTTGTAAACAATTGGGAATTAATTCAAACGTTCTAATCCTTTTGTAGAGAACAACAAACATTTAAAAATGGAAATAGAAATGTTGAAACTATCAAATAATTCATTTTTTACACGTAACTCATTTTATTACGATTATTTCTCCCATTTTATGATCCTCTCTCCCTTCATGATGTTACAGATTCTATCTGCGTCTGTCGGAGTCTGATTTTTTAAAGAAAAATAAAAAAAAAATTGCCTGGATTGATAACAACGTGAATCTAAATTTCCCAATTATCCAACAATGAAAAGCTCACCGGCAAAGAGTGCGTTACATAAAATTTGCTCTGGAAGAAGCCAAACAAAAACAATAAGAGCCACAGAAATAACAACCACAACAATCAACAATTTTTTTGGGTTGGTTGAAAGAAAATTGTATTGAATTGAATTGAATCGAATTGAATTGAATTGAACAATCGCAATCAATAACGTAAACAATGACATGATCATCATCAAAAATTATTAAATCTCAGATGTGCTTATGCCAGTGTGGCTCTGCAACTAAATACTGCATTGACATTATTTTTAATAGTAATTGAAAACATCTTTAATTTTCACGCAACGAATGAAAACATACGTCGGAAAATTTTTAAAGTAATTAAAGTTATCAGGCTATTAAAATTTGAATTGAATATTTTAAAAACAAAAGGAATAGACAGCGCAACTAACTGCTGGAAGAAGTGCACAAAGGAAAAATATATTCAAATTTATATCATAATTTGTTTCCGTCATGATAGATGCCATATGGTAACCTTATAACTGTGTTCATCAATTTTCCATTAAAAGAAATCGGCCATAAAATTTTAAACAAGGCAAAATAATAATAATAATAATAATTATTATTATTATTATTATTGTAATGATAAAAAAGGAATAATTATGATAATGCTTATGATGATTTTGATGATATATGTGCTAATAATAGTAACAGTAATAATAACAATACTAGTAACAACAAACTTGGTAAATGTTATACCAGATGCTTTTTATTAATCTCATAACTTATGTTCACTTGCTTCGATATAAAAATAATAAATATTATTATTATTTTAATGATTATGATAATGACTATTATTATTGCATTGTGTTATTAGTACAGAGAGCAACTGATCTGATTGTTGCTGGTTTGTTGTGATGGCCTTAAAATCTACAGATAGAACAAATGAAGCAGATAGAAGAAACATTCGTCTCACGCGTAGACATAATTTGGCATTTTATTGTTGATAAAAATTCATTGCTTCATTTTTCCGATTTAAGGTCTGCTGCAACATTTTCTGCTGCTTGATTCGTCTGTGCACTGTTTTGTTTCGCTCCCCACTCACTTCATACATAGTAATTTGCCACAACGTTTTGTTGGTTTCAAAATATTATGAACTGGCAGAAGACGATTCTTTGATCATGGAATCGTCATCGATAGCAAGTCGGCATGCAATCGTTGCTGAATATCTTCATTAATCATGTCATTAATTTCATTAACGCCTTTTTATTAATGTCATCCATGACACATTAATACACTCTTTGTGTTGATGTTATCTCATTGTGACGAACCAAACACATAATTTTCTGAAATGCTGGAGGGTT